CCACTCACCTTGGCCTCCCAAAGTTCTGGCATTCCAGGGATGAGCCACCATGCCTGGCCTAGATAACCAGTTTTAATTTCATCCTGTTCTGTCAATCACCAAGCCCACTGGAGTCCTTGGTCAACTCTTGAAGCTCTTTCTGCAGTTACAGTTTTGTTTTGGCCTTTGGCAATTCCCATGAAATGAGTCCTTGTAGTGCCAAAAACCACAATCACTTTTGCAACAACCTAATACTTTACTGGAAAAATCTATGTGAGATAACCCTGTCTGGGGAGTGAGGTACAGAAATCTCTGCAAAACAAGACCCTTAAGAACATTTATAACAGTTATCTTTACTCCACAGATAACAATAAATCATGTCAGAGAAAAGATTGGCCAGGGCACTAGTGGGCTTCTCTGTTATCTTTCCTTCCTAATTCCACACCAGTTTCTCAAACACATCAAAAGAGTTAGCTATAGGGCACATCACAGGCTCTCTAAGGACAAACCTTAGCCAGTTATACCTTCCAAACTGCCTCCGTATACTTGGAAATTTCCTCAGAAGTCAACATTTGGGCCTAGGGGCAGCATGTTTTTCACTGGAAAGTGCTCTGCCCCATTCTTGGGTGGGCCTCCTGTCTTCCTCCCAGAGCTTAGACTCCAGGAACCTTCTCTGGAAGCTTGCACTGGTGTCCTTGGCTTTCCCTCCCAACTTCTTCCCCTTGCCTGGCCTCACTTGCTCCAGAGCCCTCATCCTGCCTATTACGGAAGACCGGAAAAACCACAACCTTCCCTCTCTCCCTGCCCATGTTCTAAGTTTAGGCTGGCCATAGGGAGGGGTTCAAGTGGGCATATCCTACTCGGTTTCCAGGATCACCAGAACTAATGAGGTCGGCTTCCTAAGGACAGGTGGTCAAGGCCAGCTTCAGCTCTGGCACTGTGGGGCTATGCCAGACTCTAGCCTAGTCCGGCTGGGTCGGTGCCCTACAGATTAGAGCCAAGCCCCACTTCTTCCCAGCGAAGTTTGTCAATTTCAAGCCCTGGCCCCGAAACCCCGCGGTCAAAAATAAGCCACGCCCCTCTGGGAACATAGCCAGTCAGAAGCAGAGTCCCGCCCCTGCTGTGGTTCCCTGTCAGTCAAAGCTAAACTCGACTCCGCCTCCTTCCTGTTTTCGGAGCAACGGCTTTAATTCCTCAGGCCCCGAGTCCCGCTCACCTTCCGGGTGAGCCTAGAAGCCACGTCTCAGATCCGCTTTCCCGCTGACCTCGATCCTGGGCCGCTAAATCCTCCAAGTCCCCCTCGCTCCTTTCCAATTTCGAAACCCACGAGTTCCCCAGCGCCAGCCCTTTGACTTCCTGCCCAGAAATCCGCGAGGTTTTCGAGGAATCACGTGAGGCCTCTCCTCTTGGATCCCAAGACCGGATTTTTTCAGCTGCCTCTGAAGCTGTTGGCCCTTTCTCCGGCGCCGTCCTCCTCTTCTCCCTCTCTCCACCCTTGCGCCTAGCAGTCCAGGAAACGTTTGCTGAACTCTTTAATTGCGGCTCTGTGGCCGACGCTGGGTAGAAATGAAGGGTTGGGTGAACACAGAAGCTACCCTCCCACCTGCAGGGACACTGCGCGTCCCGGAAAGGCATGAAGGACAACCGTTTGCTAGGAATTGTGGAGGAATCTTGATCCAGCTGTATCATCCCAAAAGGGGAGCTTCCTAAGATGTCCCTTCTCTCTTCCTTTATACACATCTTTTCCCTCATTGGGGCTCTCCTAGGCTCCAGTCCCAACTCAGGCTGCTAGAGAGACAAAGGCAGCCCCAGCTCCAAGCTACAGCCTCCCATACCTTCCTCCTTCTGTTTTCTCAGACCAGCAAAGTTTTGCAACTGAATAACGAGCTGAGAAGGCGGGAGGAACCTTGGGCTACACACCCAACTCCACATCGCACACATCCAATAGGAAAATAACGCCATGCCTTTAATAAAGAAACGAGAAGCTCCTTCAGGCTGAAGTGCTTGCTTATGGGGCAAGAGTTTGCTATGTTAACGTATAAATTACCCAGCTATGTTATTTTCCTTCTGACCTCCCCTCCTCTATCACCAACAACTCCTCATCGATTGACAATTTTTGGTTCCCAAAAGGAACACTTTGGTCTGGGTTTTAACTGAGATTATTTTATTGAAACGAGCGGAAAATAATTGTGGCTAGCTTCAGTAACTAGGGAAAGATATTGGAAGGATTCTGCTATAGTTTTCAGACCCAGAGATGGAGTTGAACAACAAGGGCTGGGAAGGACAGGAAGCTGGCAGCGCTGGGAGTGTCCACAGCTGGAGTTGATGGGCACTGCCGCTGGGGCAGCAGCTCCAGTCTCTGCTTTCTCCAAGTTTCAAAAACTGGAACAGCTTAGATCAGTTGTGTACCTCTAGGAGGTGGCCAGGGGTCAGGGTCAAGTTGCAAGGACATTGGACATTCAGCCCTCTGACTTTGGGGCTGTAACCAAAGAAGAGCAATTGCTGTGAACTGGGAATCACCCTGATTGGTATTTATTACAACCTGTATTACTGGCTTTATACAGATGTTTCTTTCCAGTTTAAATGAAAGCCCCACTGAGGGCAGTCACCATATCTTTCCTTTTAAAAATTGTAGTAAAAAACACATAACACAAAATGTACCATCTTACCCATTTTTAAGTGCAAAATAATGTTAACAATATTCACGTTGTTGGCTGGGTGTAGTGGCTCACGCCTGTGATCCTAGCACTTTGGGAGGCCAAGGCAGAAGGATCCCGTGAGCCCAGGACTTTGAAACCAGCCTGGGCAATATAGGGAGACCCTGTCTCAAAAAAAAAAAAAAAAAAATATATATATATATATATATATGCGCACATTGTTGTGAAACGGACTCCAGAACTTTCTATTGCAAATCTGAAACTCTATACCCATTAAACACCAATTCATATCTTTACTTTTAAATGCCCACAGCATCTACAATAGTGCCTGATCCATAGTAGGTACTCAGTACTTGCTTGCTGAATAAATGAATGAGGAATCCAAAAGTGCCCTAAATCCCACATATTGATCTAGGTAAGGCCACAGACACAGTGGTTCTCAGTCTGTTTTATACCTCAACAAATGTAAAAATGTGACATCTTCACAACAAATGATGGCTCACAGCTTTAGTGATTTTCAGCCTGGAGGATGGGGAAGAAGCATGTCTTTCCAGGGAGGCATATCAGAATCTTGGGGGTAGCATAGCTTGAAAAGTCCCCTTAGGAAGTGAAGCTTGCCCCCTAGTTATTATAGTCATCAAGATGAAGGAAGAGCTCAGCTCCTCCCTCCCTTTTCTCTTGTCTCTCCAGGAGTTTCCAATGCAGAGAATGGGGTGTGGGAGAGAGTGTCTCATATGTAATCAGAGCCACTCTCTTCAAGTCTGTTGTTTTTCTGTTTCCCTGCACAAGCCAATGCCTGTTTCCTTCGGCAGTTCCCTGTGGGGCTGACCTGACTTTCACATCTACAGCTTCTTGGGGCTGGCACCACGCTGCCATCACTTAAGGCAGGCTGGAAGGGAGACATCTTCACCATACTGTTGTCCCATTCCTAGAGAGTGGGCTCACAGCTGTGTTGCTTGGCCTTCTTTCCAAGGCACAGTGGGGTGGGATGGTGATGCTAGTCAGTGATGGGTGTCAGGTAAAACCTCACCCTGCAGTTCTACCTGGCAGCATTGCTTTCTAAATGCTCAGGTCTTCTGAGTCTGGTTCATCCTGCTAGATTTGCTCATCACTGATAATGATCTTTTTTCAGCGTCTCATTTCTGAACCCCTAGGCAGTCAGTTTCCTTTGCATATATCTGATCCCCAAATTGTGGAGAAGATTCAAGTGCTTTTCCTTTGGCTAAATCAGCTGGCCTCAGTGTAATTATCTCAAATTTTCCAAGAACCATCAAGGAGGCACATTGCATGAAGAGAGCAGGCAGACTCCTCAAATCTTCAGTTTCCAAACTGCGTGCTGAGGTAGCCCAGGGTGCCACAATGAACTCACAGTGCTACCAAAAGACATTTTATCTTTTTATGTTTTTTTGGAGACGAGTCTTGCTCTGTTGCCCAGGCTGGAGTGCGGTGAGACAACCTCGCTCACTGCAACCTCCTCCTTCTGGGTTCAAGCGATTCTCCTGCCTCAGCCTCCTGATTAGCTGGGATTATAGGCATACACTGCTGCACCTAGCTAATTTTTATATTTTTGGTAGAGCCAGGGTTTCGCCATGTTGGCCAGGCTGGTCTCAAACTCCTGACCTCAAGTGATCTGCCTGTATTGACCTCCCAAAGTGCTAGGATTACAGGTGTGAGCCATAGTGCCTGGCCCGAAAGACATTTTAATTTTTTGAGGGAATTGCAGCAACTCACGACATCTATTGAACACTGCCATGGAGTAGTGTAGAGTTTTAACATTCAATTGTGCTCCATTACGTTTAATGATGTCTTTGCATCACTGGGCTTTTGACGGTTGCTGTGATGAAAAGAACTACACAGCTTGAACGCAGTGGCTCATGCCTGTAATCTCAGCACTTTGGGAGACCGAGGCAGGCAGATGCCCTGAGGTCAGGAGTTTGAGGCCAGCCTGGCCAACATGGCAAAACCCTAGCTCTACTAAAAATACAAAAATTGCTGGGCGTGGTGGTACACACCTGTGATTCCAGCTACTCAGGAGGCTGAGACAGGAGAATTGCTTGAACCTGGGAGGCGGAGGTTTTAGTGAGCCGAGATCGTCAGTGCACTCCAGCCTGGGGGACAGAGCGAGATTCCATAAAAAAAAAAAGAAAAAAAATTCACAAACGTCAATGTGGAACAGGAAATCAAAGTGACAGTGTCCAAGGTGATTCCAAGTTCTGAGAAGTTACACAGAACCCAACAGGCACATGCATCCCATTAGTAAGTAATTGGGGTAAGAATGAAATAAAAATATTTTTTTTCCTTCCAATTTATGTGTATTAGTTTTTCAGACAGCTTCAAAGTTGTTACATTAGGATGTAAATACTTGTTTGGACCTAAGAACCTAAAGAAAATGGTTAGCTATTTCTCTTCTTCTTTCTTCTTTCTTCCTTCTTCTTTCTTCTTGCTTCTTCTTCTTTTCTTCTTCTTTCTTCTTCTTCTCTTCTTCTTCTTTCTTCTTCTTTCTTTTTTTAACCCAGTCTTGCTCTGTTGCCCAGGCTGGAGTGCAGTGGCACAATCTCAGCTCACTCTATCCTCCCCATCCCAGGCTCAAGTGATTCTCCTGCCTCAGCTTCCCAAGTAGCTGGAACTACAGGCGTCCACCTGACTAATTTTTGTATTTTTAGTGGAGAAAGGGTTTCATCATGTTGGCCTGGCTGGTCTTGAACTCCTGGCCCCAAGTGATCTACCCACCTCAGCCTCCCAAAGTGCTGGGATTACAGGTGTGAGCCATCACGTCCAGCTGTTAGCTATTTCTTTTAACGTGCTGTGAAAAAAATTACTGAAAAGTAATTTCACAGGGTGCAGTGGCTCACCCCTGTAATCCCAGCACTGTGGGAGGCTGAGGCAGGTGGATTGCAAGGTCAGGAGATCGAGACCATCCTGGCTAACATGGTAAAACCCCGTTTCTACTAAAAATACAAAAGTTAGCTGGACATGGTGGCACGCGCCTGTAGACCCAGCTACTTGGGAGGCTGAGGCAGGAGAATCACTTGAATCTGGGAGGCAGAGGTTGCAGTGAGCTGAGATCATGCCACTGCACTCCAGCCTGGGCGACAGAGCGAGACTCTGTCTCAAAAAAAAAAAAATTACTGAAAAACTAAGGGTTCCCTGGATGTAGAAAGTTTGAGAACTTCTGTCCTAAATAAATGAAAGAAGAAATAAAGGAATACAGCCTGGGCATGGTGGCTCACACTTGTAATCCCAACACTTTGGGAGGCCAAGGTGGGAGGATGGTTTGAGCCCAGGAGTTCAAGACCAGCGTGGGCAACATAGCAAGACCCCATCTCTACAAATTTTTTTAAATTAGCTAGGTGTGGTGGCATGTGCCTGTAATTCTAATTACTCAGGAGTCTGAGGCAGGAGAATCACTTGAATGCTGGAGTTCAAGGTTAGTTATGATCATGGAGGTGAGCTATGATCATGTCATTGCACTCTAGCCTGGGTAAGAGAGTGAGAGCCTGTTAAAAGAAAGAAAAAGGAAAGAGAGAGAGAGAAAGAAAAGGAGAGAAACAGACAGAAAAGAAAATGAAACAAAGGAATATCATCGAGCTGTATTTGGGTCTCAGACCTGCCTTCTGTAAACCCACCAGGTACTATGCCTTTGCAGGAATTTTTCCCTTATTGGTGGGAAGTTCAAGCCTTATTTCAGTAATTCAACGTTGTTCACAACGTGATCAGAAGGTGTTAGGGAACCCATGGGGACTGGACATGGCTGTCTAAGCGGGGAAGTCAGAGCTTCACTGGCCAGGCCAGGCCATCTCAGAAGGTCAGAGGCAGAGGAGGAAACAGAGGCTGAGGACAGAGGGGTGCCTCCTTATGGCTCTGCTCTGGATCTCCCGCTAAGCTACACCAGGTTGCCTGAGTCTCTTTGGCAAACTCACTCTCCAAAGATCTGCCCCAAGCTGTGACTGCTGGAAGCCACCCTGGGCCTGCTGGACGGGAAGGACGTGCTATCTCTCCCTGCCACTGGAAACCTGGGGGCCTTCAAGCTCCCCATCCAGGAGAAGAAAGGGAGTGGGCGCCGCTGGAGCCCCACGCAGGTCCACACCTCTCCCTCTTTCTCCCCGGCATCCTCAGGTGACTGGCAGGCGCCGTCCTGGCTCAAAGACCGCAGAGCCCACGGGTCCCCAGCTCATACATTAAAGATGCGGAGGCCCCGGGACTGCGTGCCACAAACATGAAGACAAATTTTTAATCCCGAGCAAGAACATACGGAGAGATGGGGGTCGCAGGAGCAAAATGAATTAGGTTTTTATTATGTGTTTTATTATGCTGTAATTGAACAGGATTAGGTAAGAATACAATATATTTCTGATGCAGCTGGAGGCGGGAGGGGGCGGGAGAGAAACTGACAGCGAGCGAGAGGCAGCCAAGCCGGCAGAGAAGCCCGGGCTCCGGGAGGCAGCAGGTCCCAGGGGAGGGCCATGGAGCGGCGCCAACGCGGCTGGGTGGGACCACCTCCTCTCTCCCAGCAGTTAGGGCCTGGATGGGGGTGAGGGTGGTGGTGGTGACTGGACTGAGAGGGCGGGGTTAGGGACAGGTCTCGCTAGCTTATGCTGGAGGAGGGAATGGGCTTGGGAGTTGGAGGGCTGGGAAGCTTAAAAACCCGCCTCAGAGGGGAAACTGAGTCACAGAGCTGAATGGGGAGCGGTTGTAAAAAGGCTGGACGCTCTTAATCCCTGGGATCCGGAGGTCCAGAAATTCTCACTTGCTCCTAACATTTCTCCCCTGCACACACAAGGCACAAGCCTTGCAGGTCAGCATACATTTCGGAGCACCCACTTTGTGTCTGGTCCTCTCTCATTGCAGGGCGACGCGAGTTCTCGGACACACCCCTCCCCATTCCAGTCCCGCTCAACTCCCGCCACCTTTGAAAAGATTCGTATTAGGCAGGCCTAACTTAGCATCCTACCCCAGCGCGGCGCCTCCAGAAGACCTTGTCAGGTAAAGGGCGCCCAGGTGGCCTTCCCCCCTCCACACACCTAAAGCTGGGCTGTCGGGCGGGAGATGGACAAACCTACCTCTCACCCCTGGAACCGGCCCTCTCCGCGCCGCGAGCTTCCCTCTCCGTCCGCCCCAGCCCGGGCAGCTTCATTAAGGGCCTCCGCCAGCTCCGCGGTTCACCTGCTGCAGCGGCCGTCGTGCTCCGCGAGGGACCGGCTCCTGGCGGTGATGAAGAGGCCCATTAACCACTTCTACCTTTAGGGCCGACTAGGCCGCTCTCCCCACCTCCCAACCAGGACATTAGAAACCGTCAACCAAGATTAATAGTTGCCCGGCTCCGGGGCAGGGAGATGAGCCCAGATACTGCGGCGGCGGCGCTGGCTCCGCGCGAGCCAACCCGGCGCGGGCCCGGGGCACCACCTGCCGCCTGTCCCTCCACTCCGCCTTCCTTTCTGCTCCCGCTACCACTCGCCCGTGCACCTGAGGCCCTCAGGTGAGTCCAGCAATGGGATTGCAAGTGTCAGTGTTGTCTGCTGCCTCTCCGACCTGGGTACGCTGGAAGGCAAGGCAGAGTCTTGGCACTTGGGGGAGAAAGGCTCGCCGTCTCTAGGGGACTCCTCCAGCTTTCCTGCTGCCTGGATTTAAGGACTTCCAACCTCAAAGGACGGCTGACTATCGCTTTTTCGGAGAGGCTTCTTTGGCCCCTCCCTCCCTCAATTCGGTTCTCTTATTCTCGCTCCTTGTGTCCCGCCATACTTTCCAGCATACCCACAATATCTGTGCTTTTGCCTTTATTTGTGCGGCAATTATCGGGCGATTATATAATTTATGTCTGTCTCCCTCACGGGACTGTGGGCTCCAGGGGGAAGAAACCAAAGTTTTGCTCACCAGGGGCTCCGATGTGCATTCAGTAATTGTGTGTTGGATGAATGAGTGGGCAACAGGCTTGTACCGTGTGTGTTTATTGGAATATCTGCTTCCTGTGCAAGCCACCTCGCTGCTTAAACTTCCTCACAGCACCTGCACGCTTTCTTCTAACTCCTATTATAATTGTAACATTGATTTCCATGACATCAGTTCAGCTCCTCTCCCCCTTGGGACCCTGAGCACCAGAGGGCTGGTGGAGCAGAGCACACAGCCGCATCCCCAGTGCCTGCCAGCAGGGAGCTAGGAACTTGGACGGGAGCCTTGGGGCTCTTTCCGCCCATTCTTTTGAGGAGTCTCTGGCCTGAAGAGGCAAAGTGACTTGCAGGTGGTGAAGTAGCCAGTTAGAAGCAAAGCCAGGATGAAAACTTTCCTCTTCGACACTGTGATTTTTGTCTACAAAGATCACATCATCAGGCGCCCCAAGGAAGCCCCTTCTGACTTCTGAAGTTGCTGGGCTTTGGGGAGCCTGTGGGGTTGTACTAGGAATCTCTTCCTTTGGCGATGATGGTGACCCAGAACTCAGCCTTTCCTGGGAGGTAAGGCGTTTGGGGTCCAGGGGTGCCCTGTACTGTGTGTCAACAGGGGCAAATTCTTTCCATTACGTCTTAACTCTGGTTTCTCTTCCTTGGATGTAAAACCACAGAAGTCCTCTTTCTCCAGTCTCGGAGAGATGTGAACTGTCTCTGGTTTCCCTCCTTTCCCAGCAACAGAAGAAATTTGGACTGGGAGTGGTGGCTCACGCCTGTAATCCCAGCACTTTGGGAGGCCGAGGCGGGAGGATCACCTGAGGTCAGGAGTTCGAGACCAGCCCGGCCACAACGGCAAAACCCCGTCTCTATTAAAAATATAAAAATTGGCCCGGTGTGGTGGCACATGCCTGTGATCCCAGGAGTGAGGCTGAGGCAGGAGAATCACTTGAACCTGGGAGGCGGAGGTTGCCATGAGCCGAGATCGTGCCACTGTACTCCAGTGAGCCAAGCACTGCACTCTAGACTGGGCGACAAACAAACAAAAAAAATTGGGGACCAGAAACTGAAGAAATAAAGGGAACTAAAGAGGCAGTGCTAAGAGAGACAGTAGGGACCTGAGCTCTTCCAGCTCTTCACACCCCTGGTGTCACCTCTCTAGAACCCACTTACTCTAGGGGGGAGGGGTGGAATGGGTTTGGGGATGGGGGCAAAATCGATAAATCACTGGGTTTTGATGACCGCAGGCTTTCACCTTGCAGATAATGGGGTGAGCGGCGGTAAACTCTCCCCGACTGAGCGGGCTCCCCCGGCCTTAATGAGATAATCAATACTTGTTCTCGGCTTAATTTCCATCTAATTGCTCTTTAACGACGCCGGATAATGGGCCGCCTCCTGTGAGGAGGGAGCTGGCTGGGAATCCGACCCGCCTCCGACTCCCCCGGGCAGGGTGCCCTCGCGCAGGTGGGAAGGGGCGCAGCGCGTTCTCTGCGTAGCGGGAGCTCCCTCCGCCCGCTCGCCTGCCCTGCGCCGCCATCTGCCTGCAGCGCTCTCGGCTCCCGCTGGGGGGCGCTTCAGGCTTTGGTTGAGGCATCCTGGCCAAGGCTTCCTTCCAGGTTAGGGCCACCCCCGGCCTTCTGGGCTGAGAAATCCTCTGGACAAGCCCTTTCCTCTTCTCACGTCTCACCTCTACGCACTGCCCAGGGCGGGGCCCGCAAGACCTTAAGTAAGTTACTGTGTTTCTGCACCTAAGGAGGACTCTATTTTTTCCCCTGTGAGGTTGCTGGGCTGTTTCTTGCAAAGGAACCTGGCTGGTCACCACAGACCACTCAGGCCAGGAGACGGGAGCAAGAACGAGAAGTACTAGGCCCCGGGGCCAAGAGAGCCTCCTGATTCCCATTCACCTCACTCCCCGGCTCCAGCCACCCTGAGTCAGTTAGGATCCAGCCAACGCCAGCAGCTCCGTCATCGGCAACCAGCGCTCACTTCTCTCACTTCCCACCTGCCTGTCTCAGCAGCAGGAACACCTGGAAGTTCTCCCTAAGGACTCTCAAACATCCTGGCCTCCCCTCTCCGCCCTCTACCCCTGAAACATACTGTGACCTGCGATGTGCCGCCACCTGCCTGCAGCGCTCTCGGCCCCCTCCCGGGGGCGCTTCAGGCTTTGGTTGCGGGATACTGGCCAAGGCTCCGTTTCAGGTTCGGGCCACCCTCGACCTATTGTCCTCCCTACCTCCTGACCTCCTGCCATCTGGGCACACACTCGCCTGCATTTCCACAGGTTGGCCCCTGAATGTGGGGTATTTACATTTATAAAACACTTGCTGCTGTTCTGGCTCCAGCTGCAATGAAGTTAGGCTGACAAAGATACACTAATAGTGTGATGGTTAGAATCATGCTTTGGACTTAGGCAACCCTAGGTTCAAGTTTTAGCTCTGTTACTTTTTTTTTTTTTTTTTTTTTT